TGCTAACAAAAATATGATCGTTAAATGAAACGAGTCACTCGTAAGCTTGGCTAGTTAAGGCTCGAGTTCGGCTTGACTCGCTTAATAAACGAGCAGTGCTTGAGATCACTTAAATCTCGTTTCGTTAACGAGTCGGGCTTGGCTTGATAAAGTTTGTTAAGGCTCAAAATCCTACGCCGAAAAAGGCTTTTAAATAACACTTTGCCAACGGTTTTTAAGATGAGTGCTACGTAGAAAAAAAACGCATAGCTCTTAAATAACACTTAATTTAACAAGCACTATAAGAAAAGTAAACACATAACATTCCTTTTAAAAGTGTTATATAAAATATAACAGTTATACACATTGTTAGTGTCCATGCCTTTATTCATAAGACTTCATTCCATCCCTACACTCCCACACCATCATAATAAAAACAAAAACACTTTATTCAAATCAAATATGTTATTTTCTCCTCTGAGTATCTGCAGCAGCTCCTAGGTTCGGAACCCCTTGAGTAATGACTACACATCAACCACATACTTCTGAATCTTATCTTCTTTAGTTTCATACTCTCCCTTAAGTTGTTCGACCACAAGTTAGGAATCAAAATGAGAAATTACTCGTTGGGCTCCTTCTTTGGCGACGAGGTGAATTTCTTTCAATAGTACTAGTGATTCACATTATGCTTTGTTGCTCGAGAATGATAGCTTTACGGGGAACTCAATATGGTCTTGATTTGGTGTTACAATCAACTCCCCTACTTCTTTCCCTCAAACAGCCGAGGAGCCGTTAACATAGACCAACCACTAACGGACCTCTTTCTCCATCATACACTCATGTACGAAATCTGCGAGCTTTTTTAACTCTTCTGAATTCAAATTCGACATTGTATTCTCTGAACTCAACCACTCATTTCACCATCCTCCCTGAGTATAAAGGTCGGTCTAAGGTGTCTTTCAATGTGTAATTAGTTCGAACCCTAGCCTTGTGAGCCAAAATGTAAGGTCGTGCTTATGAGTCGTCGAGATGAGTGCTAATGAAGCTTTCTGGACCTTAGAGTACCTCTGTTTTGCACCTTTCAAGATCGACTGGTGTAATAGTTCGGCTTCTGCCGACCTCCTTCTTCCTTTAACTAGACTGAACTGATAACTACTTTGTCTATCAATAGGTATAACATCATCCCGTCTTTAAGCTCTAGCTTTCGGTAATGACAATTCTACCAAAAACACCTTGAGCTGGTTAAAAGCTTGTTGGGCTTTTGGTGTCCACTCAAATGTCGATCCTTTCCTCAGCGCTCGATAAAATGGAAAACTCTTTTCTGCAGACTGGGCAGTGAACCTGCTCATCCCGGTTAGGCAACTTGTGATGACATGGACTTCTCTGAGATTGTTCGAAGCTTGCATTTTGAGCACTCCTTTGACCTTTTCTAGATTGACTTCAATCCCTTTCTCATTGACCAGGTAGCCCATGAATTTTCCTGACCTTACCCGAAGTTACATTTTGTTGGATTCAACTTCATGCCATAGCCTCGTAATATCTCAAACATCTCTCTCAGGTTGGCGACGTGGTTCTTAGCTCGCCTACTTTTTATAAGCATATCATCTACGTTCCTCCATATTTTGTCCGACATGACGCTTGAACATCCATCTACCAGCCTCTGGTAGGTCGCTCCTGCATTCTTAAGCCCAAATGGCATTGCCACATTATAAATGTTCCTTTAGACGTCACAATGCTAATTGGATTCCGATCTTCTACTGCTAGAGGTTTTTGGCGACTTCTTGTAAGGCGTCCATCATGTTGAGAAGCTCACAGCTTGCGGTTAAGTCCACCAATTGTTCTATTCTCGATAGATGATAGTGATCTTTAGAGCACGCCTTGTTAAGGTATCTAAAAATCGATACAAATCCGTCATATGTCCTTGCCTTTTCTTTACCATGACTAAATAAGAGTGCCATTATGAAAACTGTATAGGTTTAATATGTTCGGCCTTCAACAACTTGTCAACTTTTGCTTTGATGACTTGGTCTAACTTCATACTAAGGTTCCTTCTTTTCTACTTCACTGGCTTTACTGCCAGGCTGATGTTGATTTAGTGCTCGACAAAATATAAGCTTAGGCCCATTAGGTTTTCTGCAAAAAAAAAACAAGAAAAAACAAAAAAACAAAAAAGAAAAAAAAAACACCAAGATGTCTATGAATTTTCTCAGCAGAGCAATTAAAGGCATCCGAATATCCTCCAATATGTGGCGACCTACTTTTGTGACCTAGCTTACCTTACCTTATACGAGGTCGACCTCCACAAGCTCATCCTGCAATGAGATCTTAAGCTTCTTGTGCTTACTAGTCCTGTTTGAACTTTTAGGGGATTGGCAACCTAGTTTAGGATTTTCCTCGCCCCCATGGATCCTGAGCTCTTCAACACAACTTGGTAACTCCTTCAGGCCTGGTTGATCTCCTGAGATCTCACCAACCTAGTTTCCAACCTGAAATTTCACCTTCATCTAGTAGTTTGATACTGTTGCTTAAAAGGAAATTTAGACTAGGTCGCCCTAAAATGACATTGTAAGTCGAGATGGCGTTTACCACCATGAATATGATCAATCTTCATGTTTCCAGAGGCAACTGCCCCAATACTACTGACAAGCACACCTCGCCAATTGCTTAACTTCACAATTCGCTAAATCGTAAAGGGTTGTATCAATGAATTCAACCTTCTCTCTAGGCCTATTTGCCCGAAGCATCGGAGAAAAATAACAATGACTGGACTGTCTAAACAACTAAACTAAAACCCCTCGAAGGTGATGATAGTATTTATCCCAGATACCCAAGTTACCAATTACTCATGCTTAAGTCTTTCCGAGATGTGACAACTCAAAAATGAAATCCTGAGTTCACAAATTATAAATTATAATCAACAACCTAAAAAACTTTCAGAGAATAAACTAACTCAATATGCTCAGAAAAGAACAAATATATATTAACTTGCATGCTTATCCCTCTTGGGTTTAAAGCATTAATGCGTAAAAAAATTATAACTAAACAAATATTTCAAGGATCAAATATATATGATATTACAGTAATACATTTATGTCTAAATTAATATTCTATATTATTAAATTATTTAAATTTAAAAATTATAAAATATTAATAACGAGAGATACCGAGTCTATAATATAAAATACAATCACAATACAATAATTGTTTTTAAAGAACTTAAACCAAATATATGGATTGTAATATTATCAGTTTGTTAGTTACTTATTATTGTTGTATATTCATTATATATAATTTCACAGTAAAAATATAAATAATTTAATTATTATACAAATATTAATATATTTAAGTACCCGTGTAGTACACGAGTATCGTACTAGTAAGTACACTATAATATAGAAGTTTATATGGACCGAAATGGCTTCTGGTAAATGAATATTCAAATATCGATAATTTACGGTAACATTTATAATATTAAAAAGATAAACACAAGTAAATGAATATTCAAATATAGATAATTTACGGTAACATTTATAATATTAAAAAGGATAAACACAATTCCGCTACATTCGCACTTCATAAGTCGACACTTTACCTCTTTAAAAAAAAAAGCATTATAATTACGCATACCTTGCACTTTGTCATTATCGCCGAAATCTAAAAACTCAGCTTGCGTTTTTCTGACATTTAAAGGTCTCATCGATTATTGGGAGATATCATTGGATTCCTCATGAAAATAGCTTTTTATACATATAAGTTCCATTTATATATAATGGTCGGACCTCCGGTGACATTCCAAAACAATTTATAGCATAATTATTTGATTTTTTTAAACTTTAAATACGATTTAACAAAGTTTGAGGTATCGTATGATGAATTAAACATGTCGTTGGATAAATTGAGTCAAGAGCTTCAAAATGATTATGATTCGTTAAAATTCACAAATGGTAGACGAACGACAAATAGCAGCTAATGGTGCTGGTTGGTAGCGGCGAGATGATCGACTGTTCAATTTTAGTACGTTTTTTATTTAAATCCCCTATCTTTTAGTTATTTTTATTATATACATGAGTTAAAAATTAAATACAATATAAATTTTTAATGCAACAAACAAAAATATACTTCAAATCAAAGTAAGGATATACAGATATTTTGTATGTACGAGGTGTACGAGACAAGGTACAAGTCAATCAACATACTTTTTTGCCTGGTACATTAAATGTAGGGCAAGATTGATGATTTTATTAATCTAATGGTGAGATGAGGGAATACCTACTTGACCCTAGAAGGTCCTAGTAAAATATTCCAAAATTATAAATGTTGTTAGTGAAAACTAATAGTTATACACATTCACATTGTTTCAATATATATACATATTTTTAGCTTGAATTATCATACTCAAATGGTTCCTGGTCAATGAAGATTCAAATGAAGATAATTTACAGTAAAGTTTATAATATTAAAAAGTATAAACAGAAACTATTCCTCTTTCAAAACATAGCAGTATAATTACGCATACCTTGCACTTTGTCATTCTCTACTAGTCGAAAAATAAATGGATACTCCAAATGGGGAAGTGCGAAATCCAAGCTTCATATCGAAAAATTCTTTCCCCTGAGATACAAGACCGAGTAATTTCTGAAGGATCATACATAACAATATAGCTGTTACAGACAAAATGATATAACAAAGTAATTGCTAATGAGACCCCAAAAATTGTGGTGTCCTATTCTTTTCAACAATTTTTTACAGAGAGCATCCTTTGTCAACCAACGAGAACTAAAAAACACAACTCTTGTGAAGTAGTGTACTTTATAATGACACAAGTCTGACTCCCAAGTCCCGACTCCCTTCCCAGGACGGCCTCACATGTTACACCTACTCACTTTTAATATACACATGAACTCAGATAGGTGAAAAAACAAACAACAAAGAAATAATAATAATTTTCACAAGTTACAAAGGAAAAAGAGTTTCCCCATGGGTGGTTTGCCATATCAATTATGGTGAAGCAAATGGAGGGCTCAAGAACCAATGCGACCTTCTCTCCTCAGTAATTCCTGCAAAAGCAGAAACACATTTTAGAACTATGTAAATCAAATACTTCGCCAGAGGCTGTATTTGTTTTACAAGTTATAGCCCTTCGATAGATGTAGTTTGCCAAATTAAAACTATTGAATCACGAGGTATTTGTAATTCTGTAAGACGGACGCATTGAAAAAAGAGTCATCTCAGTGGTTGTGTTAGTAATTATCCCTCCAAAGATTCTCTGTAGCACCATAAGGTGTAACATTTTCCTAAGTCCGTTACAGGAACAAATGTAATTCAACTTCTGAGCTGTTCTGGCCTGTGTTGGTACTTAGTAGTATGCGCAGTCCAAAAAAAGGGCAATAATTACTCATTCAGGAATGCGTGTGAATACGGTAGGTTTTCTGTCTGGTAATTCTGAAGATAATCCAGTTACGGACAAGCGAGAAATGTGAACATAGCAACTCTAATTTCATAATTTACTTTGGTAATGAATAATGATGATGAAATGAACATAAAAGCAAGATAGTTTAGCATACCAGTTTGGTTGCAGCAACAGACTGCCGTTGCCTCTCTCTCTTCTCTCGTTGGCACTCTCCACACCAGCTCGAGAAGTCCCTCTGATACTTCCTCAGCTCTCTAAAAACAGAGCTGTAGCAAAAAAAATTATAGAAATAAGAACTCACATAAATTTAACGTTTTTTATTCAAAATTAACTTAATGTAATCCGAAACTTTAAATGACATCACTAGTTACAAAACACAAATTGTTATAGAAACTTTAAATAGCCGGCACCGTATACTTCTAGGTACACATCACAACCATTGCACATAATTCAAGGAAATACAAATTACATAACAGGTTCTATAAGTAGGCTTAGATAGTTTGGATACTCTATCGAACAATCTAGGTAGACAGCACTACTCCTGCGCGGAACAACTTTAGGAAAATATTCCATTGCAGTTGAACGAACGGATCCAATTTGGTTTTGGCTAATTGACATCCATTTAAACTACCATATTAGAAACTAAAGTCGTATCAAAATGCAAACTCATCACAAGGATAACTTCCAAGGCACTGAATCATTGAAACACAAGTTCTCTAGTACCTACTGTGAATTTGTACCGGCAGATCCTGGCAAGGAGTGGAAACCCAGATCTACAAACCCCTTATTGGTCAAGGTGGCACTACTGCTGTGTCATATACTATATACACATATACAGAAAATGGGAGAGTGTTCTTACCTTCTACACCACAACAATAAGTTGACCCTATTGCCTGCAGTGGTGGCTCTGGCGCCATGCCTATGGCGACCGCGGTGAAGAACTGCACGCCCTGGTGCGTGCGTGTAGTCAAATATCTCCTACAAATCAGCCAATACACAGTCCAATTGATTGATAGATTGTATATATATGTGAGCATAATACAAGGAATAATGTATTAATGCTTATAACGTGAAAGACTAACAATAAGCAGTCAAATCCAAGATAACAATCAAAAGCTTGAAAAATGTAATGGAAAACTATTTCCAGGGGAAAGATGAAGAAAATGCAATTAAAACAACGAACCTCTGAGTGTGTTCCCGTGTTTACATGTTTTTCACAACGCACACCGCGGAAAAAAAGTTCACCACCAGAAAACTGTTTGCCCAAGCAGACATTCAAGGTGACTTCTGAGTCATCCACATGAAAACCTACAATGGCAAACTTTGTTAAAATCATGACAGCAATTCCCATGTTTCATTACGGATGCAAGATTGAGCTCACGAGAAGACTACAAACACATTTTTCAACAGAGGATCAACACAGAAGGAAAATAAGAAATGCATAATTGAGGGACAAGAAAATAAGGAATGGGCACTCACCCAGGTCAAGATCTCTATCCATCCCATACTCAAGGACAAAACCGTGATGTGCATCAATCGTGGAACCACCAACCTCAGCAAAGAAAACTGCAATAAAATATTCAGTTGCAGAGGATTAACTAGACATGCACGTGCTTTGGACGAACATACACGCACATATTCTGAACAAAACAGGCACCTCTAGAAAGTGGGCGGATAAAATCCTCCATGAACTTATCAAGCATGGTTTCCATGCCAAAATCATCAAGAACAACGCCATACTTGTTCATAGTATTGGGCCTCATGACTATGAACTTCGTCTCACTGATCCATTTCTCAAAGTTCTCAACCTGAGCAATCACGAAACAGTAAGCAAACATTAAAAAAGAAAACCAGATTACTCGAGAGAATAAAAATAAAATGTTAAATAGTTAGAAATTATATAAATCACCTCAGCTATCAACATTTCACAGAAACGTAGCTGCAGCATATCAAATGTAAAAATCCCTGGTGAGGGCTCAGAGATTATGTTTCTAAACGCCTGTTCAGTGTTCTCGCTGATTGCCCTGAGAAATGAGTGGCGGAAAATGTCCTCTGCCTGCATAGTATACAGTTCGCTGTGCAAGGGCTGAGAATAAAATGACAGTTGAAGCCTTTTAGGATAGTGCAGTGCGACATTAAGGAAGTTGATCTTGCGTTAAAACCATTAACTAAAGGTTTAAATAGAAAACACCACCTGATAGTTGGATATGATCTTCTGCCTATACTCCCTCTGCTTCTGAGACTGTTACACCAGAGTAGCCCATAAAGTCTCAATTGCATTGAATAAAAATAGAATGTTTATGTATCACTAAGAATTTCTGTACTCCTCACTTCGCAATGGACAAATTCACTCAAAGAGACAACAGTGATATCCTGATTTACAACTCTAAAACAAATATTGGGTCATGAAAAGGGAGCTAGTAGTATTCATCTGTGCGTGCACAAAGTACACACCTCACAGACAGCATGCAAAAATCACACTCATAAATAATGCAGTCCAAGCAGCACACAAGAATAGTTAAACATGCAGAAATCACACTCACACAAATAACACACTGTCCAAGCTACACTCAAATGCATAGTCTAACATGGTCAAAATATTCACATTGACATGAACAATGATCCTGTACACTACATCATCATCCAGCCTACCCTGATCATTCAATATCTACTATAAATTGCCGTTGCAACTATTGATTTATCTCAGACTACTTAAGTACGAGTTTTCATGTATTCTAAGTCCTGTTTCTGCTTTCAAAATATAAAAATAAAAAACGATAACTAAAATAGTTGAAAAACATGACATCCAATTCCTGCAAAATTTTATCCTTCAGTTTGGAAGCATATTGTACTATACAAAGGATAACAAGCAACATTCATCAGCAAATCCCCATCTTGCTACCATAAGAAATTTCAAATAAATACATGAGGATGTGATACCTCTCGCATTGGCTATAGTACGTGCCCAAAAATCCATAAATGAATTACCATTTTCTCTCATGCAAAATCTATAATGCGATCCTCAATACAAAAAAAGCTAGTCCTCAAACCAAACAATCAACATGCAAAATATCCATCATTCAACCAATACATGCAGACTAATCGGAAATCAAGATAAGAGTTTATCAGCATTGTACCCTGATGCGATCGCTTTCTGGGTAGTAACGCAGAAGAATGTCACGCATGTAATTAACCTTCACATCGCGCGTCTGGAGGAGGAGATTAGGGGGAAGGTATCTCTCCAGTGAGCTGAAGACAGATGGGCTGAAATCCAGCTGCAGATCCTCGTAATTATCTGGCTGGTGGTCTGCATTAGGGTTCAATCTCAGCCTGTGCGTCAGGTATGTGTTTTGCTGCCCTACGCCGTTAGCGTGCCTCGGATTGGCCCCACCGACTGGATCAGGTCTGCCATCGATCGATCCCGGTGCAGACGCGCCGTCGTGAGCCATTGGAAGAAATGATAGATCCTAACTACCCTCAAATTCGAATTAAAAAGAATGTGGTTTGGGATCTAAATCGGAGTATTATGTGGCGGATTAAGGCTTGGGTAATAAAGATGGCGGTGGAGAGGAGGACGATTGAGGAGCTAGGATTAGGGCTTGGTGTGTATCTTGATAATCAGGGGCTGCCTCAAACTCAAGGTAATTGTAAATAGAGGTGGTCAAGGTCCGACCCGGCCCACCGTCCGCAACCGGCCTGGATTCGACAGTTCTGTGAACTGGAACCGTGGCCATGCGAGTCAGTTCCGGTTCTTTTTTTTCGTCCCGGTGGTCTGGGTCGAGCCAGGTCGTGCTGCAGGTTGGAAGATGGGCGACGGTGTTGTGTGAATATGTTTTTATTTAATGTGCCGAACCGGCGAGTTCATGGTCAGTTCAATGGACTGACCCATTGAAATTGACGAACTGGTTACGAAATTAAATTGAGGTCCGCCGGGCAAGGCTGTGACCCAGCCCGTGATTTAGCCACGTCTAATTGTAAAATTGGTTTCGGTGCTACAGTACCAAGTCTCTTGACATGGTTACAAAATGACATGGCAACAATAATATAAAAATTAAGGGTAAACATTTTTTATCTATCAATTTTATATTTAACGATAGGAAAAAAATAATAATAAAGAACTCTCAGTCGCTCTCAATCAAGTGGGGTTAGAGAGAAGGTAGCCAATCTCTCACTAGGATTTTCGCACCTTAGGGCCTGACACTATTTTAAGCTCTTATTACATTGATTTCAAGGGATTTTTTCTCTGTAATTTCGCACTCTCTGTTGATTAACCTCTATTCTGAGTCTATTCAAGTTCGAATCCATTCATTTTGAGCGTGATTTGTAGCGTATCTTAGTAGATTTTGTGGGCACCGTGCTACAGTACACTCGCGAATCTTGCAGCGTTCCTACTGATAGTTCGTCTGATTTTGTTGCTTAGTCGTGCATCCAGACGTTGTTGTACCTATTCTGAGCTCCTTGGCACAATTTATTCTAGATTTGGGGCATGTTAATTGGTATGTTCGTCACTTAGGGTTACACTGCTACAGTGTTTCCAACATTTCCAGCTGAACATTCTTGGAAAAATGCCTAAGTTGAAGAAGAAAACAAATTTCTGGAGTTTGCTACTTGATAATTCTTATGAACGTGATGTTCAAGAGGCTGAGCACGAGCTTGAAGAAGCCATAAACCCACCAACAACTAACAATTCATGGGCAGGACCATCATGTGAAACAAAAATCCACATTAAAGAGGATGCTTGTAATGTGAACAAATCTATTGATAATGTGGAGACTATTGCACTTAATGATGCTACAAATGTAGATACAGTTGTTGCAACTTCGGATGGACAAGGTGCTAAGAAAAATCAAGACATGAGTCAGCCCAAGAACAAAGCCCACAGCGTGTTCGATGAAAAGGCCCAAAGCAACCCTGCTACTCTTAAGAGGCCTGCGGCGCTCTTCGCTGACAACCGCAAACAATCACTTGGTCTCAAATTAAATCATACCCCTCCTGAAAAGGAAGGAGTGTTTCTTGACGATGACGATATCATCGATGCCACACTCTCATGGGGGGGTCTGCCTCGTAGGATACTTTACCCACCAACATTCAGGCAAAGAGGCACTTTTGAAGATTTGCAATGCTTGGAATGTTTAATATGAGTACGTCCCAAATGTGAACTGTTGGATCCTTTTCAAGTTCAAAATCCTCAGAAGATAGGGCCAAGGTACTAAACGGGGGGCCATACCAAATTTAACCGCGGTTCAACTTTTTTGATAAATGAACCGTGACAGGCCCAGACCAAACACGGTTCAAGTTCACGAACCGTGGCCAGTAACCCACGCCAATTCCAAAACCGTTGACCACGGGGTGGTTCGGGCCAATTTCAAACCTTGGCCAAGATTGTCCACCACCCAAGGGTAGGCATGTAATTTTAGAACCAAACTGATACTGTATGAGAGAAACGTAACGATGTATGATTTGGCAGATCCTTTTTTAACTAGTGCGGTACCCGTGCGATGCACGAGCTAGTTTTATTAAAGTAAATATTTAAATTTGGATTATTGGAATAACGTAAAACGCATGTATTAGAATAAACAAAATATAATTTATATATATCATTAAACATATCTTTGTACACAAAATTATTTATTTGGTCTTTTAGTACATCGTCTATCACCTCAAATAATATTAGGATTCGAGACAAGCTTAAATAAATTAATTAATTATTTAGCATGATATATATGATATTTTGTAAGTGTATGCAATCATTATTTATTTTGTAAGTGCATGTAATCAATTTCGAAATTGTATTATAGAGAATTAAACAAAACTCAATTTTTTAGGGTGTTACAATCCGATTTCATTTTGAATTTGAGAATTCGTTGACCACGGGTGGGTCGGCCAATTTGAAACCTTGGCCAAGATTGTCCAACACCCAAGGGTAGGCATGTAATTTTAGAACCAACATGATACTGAGAGAGAGATGTAGCGTAATGCTCCTCTATCTACGGTGAACACATGTTAATATGTCCACCAGTTATGTGGCATGTACACATTGGTGATGTTAATATGTTCAAAAAATACATTACGTATTAATACCACATAAACAGTGGACATATTAACCGTGAGTAGGGAAGCATTATCCTGAGAGATGTAACGATGTATCTATCATGTATGGTTTGGCAGATCCTTTTTTAATAGTTAATATCGCCAACCTGCGCACTCACTCAGCAAAAGGAAAGAACAACACATTCCCAATTGTCACTACTCACTTGCATTTCTCGTGTCAAAGAAGAAAATATTTCTTTATATTTCCCATTAATTCTCTCTCCCCTTTTCTCGCAATTGGAGTTGATTAGTAGCGGAGAATACAGAGAGACATGGCTTGCTCGAGTTTGATTAAACTGAACGCCGCCTCCTCATCGTGGATCGCCGGCCAGAACCCCGTCAATTCGCGCCCTCGATCGGCGCCGCATCTCAACAAGCGCCGCGTCACTGCCGTCCGTGCCGGATCTTACACCGATGAGCTCGTTAAAACTGCTGTAAGCGATTTTTACCTTCATACGTTTGCTTTTGTTTATGTATCTTTTGACCTGCTGAAAGTGGGTAGGTAGGTAGATTCAAAGAAATCGGACAAACTTTTAGTGGTAGATCGCAGAAATTATAATTCGTTTCTTGCTCAATGTTGCTTCTATAATTCTATTTATTTATTCAATTGTATGCATATGCATTAGGATTGAGGCATTGGTTTACTTTTACCTCTTGTTACCTGGGCATGAAGTATATTCATCGGTTTAAGTTATCTTCCTTGTGCTCTTGACTTTGGCATTTTCGTTAGCTACCCTCTTTATGTTGTGGCTGGGTTTTGATTGATTATAGAAATTAAACTACTTTTTTGATTGTTTTACTCCTCTAGCCATATCCCAAAATGGTAGAATGCACCTCCTTGAACAAGATGCTGCATTTACATGTCTGCAACATAATCGTCTACTGGATGAATAAATTTTGCTCTTGTACTTTAGCGACTTAGAACGCTAATGTGTTTATTGTTTTCTTTCTGTTGGGACTAGAAATCTATTGCATCTCCAGGTCATGGGATCCTTGCAATAGACGAATCAAATGCGACGTGCGGAAAGAGGTTGGCTTCCATTGGACTTGACAACACCGAAACCAACAGGCAAGCTTATAGGCAGCTTCTGCTTACGACTCCTGGGTTGGGTGATTATATCTCTGGCGCCATTCTATTTGAGGAGACACTTTACCAGTCAACCACCGACGGGAAGAAGTTTGTGGACTGCTTGCGTGATGAGAACATTGTGCCCGGTATCAAAGTCGATAAGGTAAGCAAATGAAGACAATTTTGTTACAGTTTTTATCAGATTACTTTTCGCACGTCTGTTGATTATCAATTTGCTCGTGATTTTCCGTTTGGTGATTCCCCGTTACAAATTTAACTTATCATGTTTTTTCTTGTCTTTTTTCCCGGCTTCTGTTTCTCGCATTGACAGGGTTTGGTCCCACTACCAGGGTCGAACAACGAATCTTGGTGCCAGGGATTAGATGGGTTGGCATCTAGGTCTGCTGAATACTATAAGCAAGGGGCTCGTTTTGCCAAATGGTTTGTGGCTTCTTTTGGTTATATTTTTTAAGTTTGTGATACAATTTCTTTGGTTTTCTTATCATTTTGCATCTGCATATGATGGTTTAGGAGAACTGTTGTAAGCATACCTTGTGGTCCTTCTGCTCTAGCTGTTAAAGAAGCAGCTTGGGGTCTTGCTCGTTATGCTGCAATTTCTCAGGTCCTCACCAAATTTCCACGTCTTTCATATCAATTTTTAGATTGTATGTGACCTTTATTTTTGTACTAATAATAGTCAATGGGAAGTGTGTTGCAGTCATGAGGAAAATGATTGTCCATCCTGGTCTTGGTAAAAATGGTTTTAAATTAGAATGTACAAACAGGGGACCTCGTATTTTCTGAACTATGCATGGGGTTTGGCTTTTACATTTATTCACCATCCCCTCTTTCAAATGAACTTTTGGCTTCTGCTACAGAAAATATATATATATATATTTTTTTTTTTTTTT